GATGAAGGGATGGATTTTTCCTCTCCCATCACTTCACCAGAAATTGGATTACGGGGCAATAAACGTCAGCTGGAGCAGTACGCACCCCTCATGGATGGCCTGACTGGGTGCACCCCGGCTGCGAGAGGGAGAGCGGGGCTCTCCCGGTGTGGCTGATGGCACACTTGGCTGGCGAGGGCTGTGGTTAAAGATTAAAGCTGGATCCAGTTCTCAATATTTATCTTGGGAGCAGGAGGGCCCCAGCTTGTTTGGTTTGTGGGAATTGTTGGGGAAAGGTGACGCTGGCGTGGACGGAGCCGGCAGGGCTGGTCCCGCGGGGTCCCGGCAGTCCCTGCACAGTGAGCACCCACCCAACCGGAGCCCAGCACGGCCCCGTCATATTACTGACAATAAGTGGTTCAGGAAATGAGAAAAAGAAAGAAGCGGACACACCTGAGTTTTACAGACTCCAAATGCACAATAAAACATTTTATTTAAAAACAACGCATTCAATACTGTGTTTTTGGCACACGAGTCAATGCTGCAGGCACATTCACACCAAAGAACCACATTGCTGAGAGATCCCGAATGAGTCGTCGCATTGTCCCCCACAAACGATGCTCATGACGAGGATGCGGCGGGGCCGAGCCGCCAGGGCCGGGACCACGTTGGGTGTGGAATGGCCTCAGGCCCCCTGCCCATGGGGGGTTCGCGGGAGCCGGGCTTGCACTGCGTTTCACACCACGTGCGGCCTCGCCATTCACCAGAGACTGTGCCCTGGCCCTCTATGAACATTAGCCATTTAAAAATAAATAGTGTTTTTAGTATGGCCGTTAAAGAATGAATCCTTTATCACAATTATGGCATTTTTTTCTTCTTTTTTAAATATTTATCTTTTTTTTATTGAAAACAACTCCATCAGGCATTGAACTGTATAGCCATTAGAATAAAGACACATTCATTTACAGAAAACCTGCTTCTTTTTTTTTTTTTTTTTCCCGGAACAATCTGTTTTTGCAGCCTCCATTCACAGTTAAATTATATTTCACAAACACTTGCTTTTTTTTGGTATACTCCACACTTAAAACCGGTAGCTGGAATGGCTTCGTGCTCGTGTAGCTTGCTACCATCCACTGAAAAGATGCAAGCAATGAAAATACAAACGCAGTATGTATAAAAGGAGAGAAGGTAACACAGGCATTCCCACTCTTACGTACAACCCCCAGCCCCCAGCTCCCACGGATGGTCCCCGCTGCGGGCGTGGGTCCTCCCCTCGTGCTGAACTTCAACATTCTGCACTTGCAGATATTGATCGCGTCGCATTACGTGTGCTTTCATGAGCTAGATTCTCTTGTCTAGACATTCAGTAAGGAGTAAGTGTTTTCCCTGAACGATCAGGAATTCCTTTAGGTAGGCAGAAGGTTTCTGGGCCAAGCGGGCGAGAAGGGAGAGCCTGGCCAAGGTGAGCATCAGGAGGGTCTTTCCCCGCCCGCGGGAGCAGAGCCCACGCTGGGATGTGGCTGGTCCCAGCAGCCCACACAAGCTGCCCTTCCCCTCTGCTCTCTCTACAAAAGCAGAATTCAAAGAGCATCCAAGAAAACAGGCAAAACCAAAAGATGCACGTTTTAGGACCCTTTTTTTTCCACCTTGCAACAGCTTGGACAAAAAATATTGATACTAAGAAGCAATTTACTTTGGGCTGTATTGCGCCATTGATTTCGGGGCAGAACTCCCCATTAAAATCAATGATTCTGAAATGTTCAATGCAGTTCTCAAAAATCGATGGGGAGTTTTGCTTAAAAATCAATGATATAATATGGCGCTCTGTCAATAATTTTTCTGTATTCCCATTTCCGAATATTTGCAGTCGTTTTCATGCTTCCTTCTCTGCACTCGGTGCCTCTTTCCTCTGGAAAGTCCTAGCTGTGCTGCCGGGGCTGTCCCCAGCACCAAGGGGGGTCCTGTCCCTCTCCGGCGGTGGGAGGGGGCTGCAGAGTGTTGGGGCTCCCCCTGAACCCCCCAGCAGGCTCTGCTGCCTCCCCTCATCACGGGACCGCACTGCAAGTGGGATTAACCCGAGAGAGATGCCACCTGCCTAAATTAAGCAAGATCAAATGAAGGCAGTGTATGTTACAAGCCCTTTCTGTCACCATCCCCTCCACACGTGGGGGCACATGCGGTGCTGTATCCCTGCTGCTCTCCAGGATGGAGGTGGGTGGGAGTCGTTGACCCCCCTGAACAGGCTGGGATGGACAAGTCTTGGGAAGGACAGAAATTCTGACTGTGGGCAATTTTCCCAGGTTTATTGCAATGAGGAAGAGAAATCAAATTTAAAAAAAAAAAAATATGAAAAATTAAAAATCCTACCCTGGGGCAATCTAGGGTTTTGATTTTCAACTTTATATATTCTATCTTCTCTCCCGGGTGCTCCAGAGCAGCACTGGGAGAAGACACTGGCAAGGGGACGACACTGGGGACCGGGTTGGGTCACCCAGCATCTCGCAGCATACCTGCTGCTGCCCCGACTCTGGAGACCTTCCCATCCCAGTTTCACCACGCCATTCCAGGGCAGGTTCCCGTTTCCACACTGGCCGTGCCAGCACCCAGTGCTGGTGCCCACCTCGGTCCTGCTGCTGCCAGGGAGTTTGGTGCGTGGAGCTGCGGGGCAGACGTGCAATGAACCATCTCGCCCCAGGCTGCGCATCCCTGCTGCAACAAGGGAGAAGCGTGAGGCGCGGGGCTGGAAATACGTTTGTATAAGCTAATGAGTGTTTACTTGTGACTACATCTAATTTAAAGTAGTTACGTCGGGTAGACCACGC